ATGCAAATAATAGTATTCTATTCATTTTATATTGAATAAAAATGTTTATTGATTGTCAGGGCCGTATTTAGGGGGGAGTTAATTTGTAATTAAATTTGTATTTTGTATAATGATTAATGAGGTGTATTTTTTTTTTTGCCCCATGGTGTCAAATTCCTAAATACGGCCCTGTTGATTGGCCTCCCATCGAAATATTGGACCCAGGAAAAAATATCTAGCTACGCTACTGATCTGGTACCTAGTGATGCCAAACGATACTGGACTTTAACACATGCACTAGTGACTGTGGCCAACCACCACGCCACACCTGGTCTCATTTTCTATAACTTACTGAGATTGTGTTATATTTTATGTAAATAGTAAATTATAAAAAATTTTTGAATTTTAAAACTACAATTTGTCTGTTTTATTTATAAGCAACATAATAAAGTCTTCTTACACATTCTCAATTTTAATTCTTTTAAGCTCACTTCAATCCTCTATGGTTTACAGCGAAGTTTTCATACTATACAGAAGTTTTTATTTTGGAAATTTTTTAAATATTATATAATGTATTGTAAGCACGATGATACTAGATAATTAGTTACTCCATTTATCTTTCATTCTTTATTAATTTTAAAACTATTATTTGCAAATAAAAATTAATATGAATAATTGTATTAATATAAAAATATAAAATGATTTATTTGGAATATATAATATCATTGGTAGAGTCCAGATTTATATGTTTTTACATAATGATTATATGCAGTCTTATGAAAGTAAAAAATTTAGATAGCATAGTAGACAATATACATTAGTATAACCAATAGTGTCCGTAGCTTTGGTCTACGTCGACAAATTCCTTCCCTACTACAACCCAAGAATAGGAATAAGATTGTACATTCAGATAAAATCATTAAAAAGAACATAGTTTACGCAATATAGTTTATTATGCTTGTACAATAATAATAATGCCAAGTCTTATATTTACATATATTATAATATTGTGACTATTAAATATAATTCTCAGTAATATTCAAACCCCTATGACATTAACTAGTAGTACATTAAGTAGATATTTTAATTTTTAAGTGAGTTATGAACATTTTAAATTTTCATAATTTACATACCCATAACTCACTTAAAAATTAAAATATCGTAAAAAACCAACGAGAGAACACAGATAATGTTGCTACCTAAAAGTTTGATAATAGGTGGATTCACTCTGATATCAAAATTGACAATACCCTATTGAAACTAGCGAACGAACATTTCCTATGTCGTACGTGTGTAAGACGGAGACAACACATGCGGGTGCAACGTCCTCTTAATAGCATTTACAACACCAAATATATTTAGGATGACAACAGATAGTTTTAATAATAATGTACAAAAACAAAATCTTAGTATATTAAACTTTATATATAATGGCTTATTAATATTATAATAGTACTTATTTATTCTAACTTTGGTTTGGTAATTTGTGGATATTTTGAAAAGTAATAATAAATCATTTTTAAAAGTTTGTAAGTAATGAAAATAACAAAAGTTATAACAATCAATATAACAAAAATAACATCCAATAAAAGGTATTGGTACCACGTCAAATTAAGTGAGTGAGATTTTAAATGTGGTGCACCTTTATGACGAATTACGTACTCTGTCCAGTATACAACTGATTCTGCTGGTGACATCGGTCGGTCTTTAAATCTATCAGAAGCGATCTTAGCATTTTTCATGTATCTACAATAAATTAATATATTTATACGATTAATTTGGTATTTAATGTTTTTTAAAGTGCTAACATACTTTTCATTATTAATGAGTTCCAAAATATGTTTTAACAATTCATCTTTTTGTAACGTTAACAGATCCATAGAAATACCCATTCCTGCTTCAACTAAATTATCAACATTTCTAGGTTGATCGTAAAAGAGAGGGAATCCAAGAACAGGAACRCTTGCATCCACAGCTTCATATACACCAGATATACCTCCGTGACTAATGAAGAGTTTTACATTTGGATGCACTAGACATCAAAATTATATTTACTATACTTAATAATATTTTAATAAAAATATCTTACTGAGTATATCACGCTGAGGAAACCATTTACTTGTCATTACATTTATTGGTTTATCTTTYATTTCTCCTTCATATTTCCACAATACCCTYTGAGGTACTTGTGCTAAAACTTCTTTAAATGCATTTTGAATATGGTCTGGTAAAGTTGACATTGATATGACTGAGCCGAACGTAAAATAGATTACTCCATGTGGTGAGTTCTCAATAAAGTCCAGTATATCCTTAAATAAATTAAATAAAAAGTGGTCAATTTTACTATTTAGAATTATATCATAAATCAACAATATATAATATTATTATCATKMTATGTTTATACATAAATTATTTAAATAAATATAATGATTTATAAAGGCTAGGTACCTATAAAAAAAATAGTGCCTACATCAAAACATAATTTTCCTTGATTAGATTT